ATATAAATAAAATTAAAAATAAATAAACAATAATAAAAATACGATTAGAACTATATATTAAAAGCAATGAAAATATTTAAAATTAATTACTAAATTATAATCTAATAAAATTAAATACTTAATTTAATTAATATTTAAAATTATAGGGATTAAACATGCTATTTTTCTTATTTATTAATTTAGTGACTAAACTAAAATTATATAAAATTCGAAAATCAGATTAAAATAAATTAAAACATATGATTTGGGGTTAAAATATTAGTTAATAAAATTAAGGAACTAAATATGTTATTTATCCTAAATATTTATAAATACGGTTAAGGGCTAAAATATAAATAAATAAAATTTAGAGACCAAATTAAAAGGATTATAAATTCGATTTAGTGACTAAAATGTAAGGATTACAAATCTAAGGGATTACGAACGGGATTTAACCTTTAGTTAATTACACAAATAGCCCTCCCCAAAACGATGTCGTTCGGGAAGGGCTATTTAAAGCCCGAAACGGCAGGCCCGAAGGGCCAGCCTCTCATATTTCAAATTATCATTCTCTCTCTAACTGAGAGAGAATGATAATGCTCTCCCCTCTCTCTAGCTTCCCTCATCGGAGGAAAGCCGGCTACCGGACGGCAGCCGTCTGCCGCCGTAATTCCCACCGTCGGCCACCGCATCCGGTGGCCGAAAAAATTTATTTTTACACCACAATGTAGATCGGACCGTCCTAAAGACGGTTCCAGTGTTTATTTCTTTTAAATAGCTCCCGATCGGAGCAAATCTAAGAAAATACCTTCGGTTTTCGAAGGTTTTTGGTGACGTTTGGAGGCCGGTGGTGACTCCGATCAAGGCTTTATCTTCCACGGTAAGTTTCTCTCGTTCCTTGCTGTTTTAGTGAATTGCTTTTTGTCCTCTTTTTTTTTTTGTTCTCTGTTTTTGCTGGTTGTCGTGGGTTTTTCTTTGCAGGTTGGGTGATGGCTTTATAGCCATCACCGGCGCTTGTCTCGGACCGGTCCTAAGGGTGGAGTTCGGTGAGTCATCGAGCTATGTGGTGACTCACCCATAGCTGCGACGTGTGGGGGGCAGGGATCTTCTGGAGCGTTCTGTTGAGCGGTGGCAGCAGCTTCCTGAGCGGCGGGATGGCAACAGTAAGGAAGCAACGACGTGGCCCTAGGGTGATGATACCCTAGGGTTTCCTCTGGCAAACTGTGGACCGTTGGATCAAACCAGATCCAACGGCTGAAATTGATACTGGCGGCTGAAAAAGATGAAACCCTAATCAGTTTAGGGTTTCTGTTTATAATTGGGCCTGGACCAAGTTGGGTCTGGGCCAGTATGGGTTGTAATTGGGCCTCTGGTCTGGTTTGTAATTTGGGCCTGTAATAATATTTAATAATAATAATAATAATAATAATAATATAAATAATATTTAAATGAAAAAAATGAGTATCTTCATTGCTGACTGGATTTTTTAATTAGAGTTAACGCCTAGCTTGGCCTTTCAATCTGAATTGGCACCGACTACTCCTAGAATTAGGATAAATATGCTTTAATTCGTTCTTTTATTTTTGATTTATGAAAGTAGAGTCTTGCAAAAAAATCTATTTAATAACCCAAAATAGCACTATAAAAGGGATAAAACAAATTAATTAATAATAAAATACTAACCAAATAAAAAACTCATCACCGAACATTAATAGGGGCAATGCATTTTCTTTGGCATATAGGATGGAAGCTATTTTGCACATCGAAGTAGAGATCCAGTCACTATGAGTGTTATTAGAAGTAAATCTAAGTGATGCGAAATGGATACTAGCTCGATATGACCAATTAAATTTGAATGAAGAAAAGAGTTTGAAAGTAATTTGTCATGGTCAGATATATCAAAAGTAAATGATTCAAGCCCATAACAAGAAGGTGCGACCAAGATAATTTTATGAGGGGGATTTGGTGTTGAAAAAGATCATGTCCATTCACAAAGATTTTCAAGGAAAATGGATGTTGAATTGGGAAGGACCCTTTGTTGTAAAGAGAGCCTTTTCTGGAGAAGCATTAAACTTGACTGAGATGGATGGACTTAAGTTACCCAATCCTGTAAACTCAGACGTCGTCAAGAAATAATTTGCCTAATGAACTCAAAAAAAGGTGAGCTAGAATGAAAACCCGAGCGAACGCTCCAAGAAAAAAACATGTGAAAAATATTTAAAGTGAAAACCCAAAAAAGACACTTTAGATATAAAGAAGAGAGAAATAAAAACAGAGGAAAAAGAATAAAAATAAAAGGGAGTTCAAGATGAAAACCTGCATCGGGCGTCTTGAAACCAAGAAATGTCATAAGTTAAAAAACCTGAAAGGGTAACTTGAGTTACGATTCAGGATTCACGTAAGGAAAGATTTGCATCAAGAATATCGTAGAAATGGCATTGACACACAATTGAATGCAATTAATTCATTATAGAACATAGTAGTTTAGGGAATTTTACATCTTTCATGCATTATCATAACTGTTGAAGTCCCGCGACGGTAGTTATGCTCGATCAACTTTACAAAGTGCCAATTTAAAAGACTTATGCTTCGATGTCCAGAGGCTGTTTCTTTCTTTCTATGTTCTTTTAAATGGTTGCCATGTATTAACCAAAAATCCTTTTCGATTCTACATGAATAAATAATTCATTTGATTTTTGCCCCTATTTACTCTGTATCTGCACTGAAATAAAGTATGATATTTTATCTGTCTTGAAAAAAGATCATTGTGTATTACTGTACAAAAGGTTTGGGGAAAATACGAGAAGTCCAAAATGACTGAGTTCAACACTGAATCCACATAAGCTCATGGATTTATAAATCTGGTTTGATTAGCTTTATTACAAACCGTGTCCCCGACCATCAGGGCACTCTTTTAGGTAACAGCCTACAATGAATTCCAAGCGGCATTGCTCGTAAGCGTCTGTAAGAAGGATAAGATTGATACACGAAGAATACGATTTCCCTCTTGAAATGAAGGATACAAATTAACAAAACGATACATTCTGCATACTTCTTAAACATCCTAAGAGCATAACATTCATAATATTGCACATGAATATATGTTTTTTTAGCTTTAGAAACAAGTTTCCACTTCACAATCAAGGATACTTGATTCAAGAACTTGATTCAAATTGACAGTGAACTCAGCAGTGACGGGCATCTCCTAGTCAGGACTTCTTAACACCAATTTCAACTCCGTAACGAGGATATGGATTCAAAAGAACAACCAATTCAATTTCATTCTAGTTTAACTCAATAGCGAGGAACTAGTCTTTGATCAAACTTTTGAGCTCAACTTAAACTTCACAACGAATGATACTCTACTTGAGAGTACAATGACCGCATTTTAGTTTAACTCAATGGTGAAAACTATCTTCCGGTGGAAATCTCCAACACCAATTTCAACTCCACAATGAAGGATATTGGACCAACTGCACTCTAGTTTAACTCAACGGTGAGAATTAGTTTCAGTAAGATCTCCTGAGTCATTTTCAACTTGAGAGCACAGTGAACGCATCATGGTTTAACTCAGTGAGGAACTACTTTCTGGTCAAAGTTTTCGAAGTAATTTAGCTCCACGGAGGATGATATTGGTTTTAACTTTATTACAAATGATACTTAACCATAAAAACATACTTAAGACTGATTGTAATTTAGGTTAACTCAACGATGAGGAGCCACTTTCTAATCAAGGTCTCCGAAATCAATTTCAACTTCACGAAGAAAGAAATTAAGTTAAGAAACATTACAAAGTTATCTCTGATCTAGTTGAACTCAATAGTGAAGAGCTAACTTCCAATCAAAACGCTCAGAGTCAATCAAGTCTTAGAAGAGGATTTCAGCAGTCACAACGTACGAGATACTTTTAAGGCTCATCTATGGCATACCGGACAAAAATTCATGCCTTTTATCTTTTTCTTATTCTCGTTACATGACAATGGACAAAGAAAGACAGCTGTAGACACTAATTTTTGTCTGATCCTAGTATATTTTGAAAATATATAATATACTTTTGAAACATATGCATAATATATAGTTTTGAAAACATATGTATTTTTGAATATATATATATATAATTTTGAAAACATATATTAATTTTTTAAAAACATATAGAGTATATATAGTTTTGAAATTATAATATAATAATTTTGAAATTATAATATAATAATTTTGAAATTATAGTATATAGTTTTGAAAACATATATATAATATAATTTTGAAAGTTTATATAGTTTTGAAAACATATATATATTATTTTATTTTCCAGTTTTGAAATAATGTCCATGTTTAAATTCCAGTTGGGGTCCAACAAGTCAAGGTCATGTGTAAATGGTCCAATCTACCTGACCCAGCAGAGTAGAGAATTCCAAAATCGGGAAGGATCCAACACGGAGCAGGCCTAGAGGTCCTCTAAGGAAACTCGCTCCGTGACCCAGCAAGCTAGGTTTTCCGTCTTATGCAAAGAGTCGCATAAATAAGAGCCATCGGATCAAGAGATGGATCAATGACAGAGATCAACCACAAGAAAGGGTTTTCATAACCCTAGTCACAAAACATGAGTGTCGCATCAATCCAAGCAGTTGGATCTGGCTAACCATCCAATGGTCAACAACAGATTTAGCACCACAAGAACCATCCAACGGTTCAAAGGCCGCGTTTGTGGGTCATGCACCGATAGAAAATGGAAATTTTCCAGATTTCTTGCAAAAACATATCATATGCAAATATGGCGGTCAACACAAATTCAACGCAAAAAGGAAAAAAAATCCTTTTAATGAAAATCGATGCAAGTCAACAATAACGGGGGGAAATTTTGATCAAACAAAACCAAATCTCAGTTTTAAGGAAAAAACTGAGAATATATCCCATCGATTATGGAATTAAGCTCATACAAAAAAGGAAATAGAAGGGGAGGTCAGTAATTAATCAAGCGAAATAGAGAAAACGAGAGAAAGAAATAGAGAGAAAAGAGCACTTACTCGTGCTCGTGATCTTCAGAGAGAAGGGAGGTCACCAGACACCAACTGTCGTTCGAATGAGAAGGTAAAACTCGAACATTTAGTCGTAGATCTACACCAAATAGGGCACTATTTGGGTATTTGAAGGGTAAATTTGAACTTAGGGGAAAAAGAGCATTCAAATAAGGTAAGGTTAGGTTTTCAGGCCTCCGTAGGTGGTGGCTGTCGCGGTTATCGGGGTAGTTTACCCGGTGGAAAGCCAATGGGATCTGGATTTTTGGTCACCGGGCTAGGGCTGCCTTGGAGAGAATTTAAGAGCATTTGAAAGAGGTTTCTTTTAGGGAAAGGTTATCAAATGAAAAAAAAAGGGAATGTGGGGCATTTTAAAAGAGGGGCACGAGTGTAATTAGGTAATAGTCTAATTCTTTATGTAATCCCTATAAGTTTGATGCATAATTCATTTAGATCACTAAACTTGTAATTTGATCCCTAGAATTTCTTTTTAAATTCAATTTGATCCCTGGAATTCTTTTTAATTGTTATTTAATCCATGATTCCTTGTTAATTATTTTTATGATATGTTAAGCATGTTCAATCGTTAATTAATTTGATTGCCTATTTTAGTAAGTATTTGTTTAATTGTGTTATTTTAATTAGAATGATTAATTAATACTCATAACTAATTTATTAGTTTGTTTGATGACGTTGATTAGAAGCATGTTTAATTTGGTCTTTATTATAATACGGTTGAATGATTAATTTAGAGTTAAATGATTTTTGTTTTATTATGACATAATATTCTTATTTTTCAAGCATAACCTCATTCACATTACTCAACCTTTTTCATAATAAATTAAAGGAAATACATGTTTAATTTAAATTATCGAAGCGAGTCATCCTAATCCACTTGGGTAGTTCAATTTGATAATTTAAAGTGAACAGGTACCCTATAGTGAAACAAATGAAAAATGATAACTGCTAAAATCAACCCTATTTCGAGATTTAGTTTCGGTACTTGTAAATATTCAAATTTATTATCTATCTAAAGCACGATAATCTCCCATTAATAAAATTTTATTTATTGCACAACTATAGGTAAATCAATACAATGATTACGATACTTCTTGTTTTTTCTAAATATAGGGAATCACCACTCTACCTTATATTATGTGGTGTTTCCTCTTAGTTTTGAAACGTGAAATGTCGATTGTTTAACTTTAAAATTTTCGAAGAAGATTAATGATTCACCACTTTGGTTGGAAATGAGAGGTATGTCATTCTACCCTATATTAGGTGGTTAATTTTCTCTTGTTAAATGCATGAATCTTTAATCTTCTCTTCTAAATTTTAGGTCAAACGAAATTATATTTATTTAATAAAAAAGGGATCATTAATTAAATTAAGTTTGAATTCATAAGTTCCATTGCAAAGACAATAATTAATTGACTAGGGACCGATTTTCGGGTATTGTGGGGGTGCTAACCCTTCCCCACATGTAATCGACTCTCAACTATTTTCTAGAAAGTACCAAACATTGTTTTAATAATTTCAAAATTAAATTTATTAAATGATGATATTTTTGTTGACCCAATCACACCCTAAACAAAGATTAGTTGCGACTCTCTCGAGCCACATTTTTGTTTTAAAACCTAATTTTAGTGGAAACAAACCCCTAAATTTTTTTTCAATTCTTTTGAGACGTTATGATAGGATAACAATCTCAAGACAGAGTAAACTTATTCTTTCTCTTTTTTTTATAATGATATTTGTTTTATTATGATTTTTTATATTATTCTTGGAATAACGTGCGATTTTCTAACAATCTTAAGACATATTTGATTTTATTATTTTTCTGAGATGATATAGAATTGTTTGAATTTAATATGTGATCAAGCGAATCATGGTGACGAATGAATGGAGCTAGGATTCAATACAAGTCGGTATAATGAATTCTACAATATTTCATGGTGTTGCATGTTGGTGTATAATTTGCACGTAAAAATCAAAGCAAATTGCAGTTCAAAGAAATTTGTAGGTTTTATAAATTTTGATCAAGAATCCAATTTTTGGTTGACAACGATGAAGTCAATCATGTAGGTGAAATTTGAATATTTCCCCTTTAATCTGAAACAATTCGGAACTCTTTATTCTATCTTTCTTTAATCTGAAACAATTTAGATATCATGGAAAATGAGATAGAAAACAAATTTATTTTGGGATTTATCATGTCGTCTTAACGGTGTCGCAACCGTCTTTCGGTTGGGGCCCCGAAATTGGGCTTCGACTTGAGTGATTGGGTTGGGAGTCGCCACGACCATTTTTTTAAAACAAAATGGGTTGATCGGATACCCTATTTCTTACTGATCTGCGTTGTACCAGAAATATATTGGGCTCGGGAGTCGGTTACGGTCAAGGAAGGATTAGCACCTTGAACCGCCCTTTCGTACCAATTAATTCACCGATTGTCTTTAATGGCGAAAATAAAAAATTTAAATTAGAATTTAAATACTCGATTCGAATTGTTTACTTGACCGATTTAAAGGACCACTGAAATGTTAAAGAAAATGTTAGATGATAAAAAAGATATAATAAATCAAATAATATAATAATAATAATAATAATAATAAATAAAGTAAATAATATAAAAAACAATAAATCAAAGAAATTAAATTAAAATTAAATAAATAATAAAAATATTAAATAAATAAGAAAAATATTATTAAAAGTAATAAAATGGAAACAATATGAAGTAAGAAAGAAAATAAAAAGAATAATAATTAACAAGCATGATAATAAAAAAATTCAGAATTTAGGGGGTCAAATTGCAAAAATGTAAAATTTAAACGGGGACCGAATTGAAACAATTGAAAATCCTGTGGCCGAATTGCATATGGTGACTGAAATGGATTGCGACTCAAACTTACAGGGATCGCGGAAAGGATTTAACTATCCTGTAATTCAGGGAGTCCCTGGTATATAAATACCCAAAAACAGATATCTCTCATTCATTATCACCATTCACTCCAGCTCTCAGAATTGAGAGAAAAATCTCTCTGGGCTCTCTCGCCTGGGGTTGTTCGGCCCCTGCCCGATGACCCTTCCGCCGCGTCAACCACCGTGCCGGCCACCGCCTTAGCCCGAAACACTCGCCTCGTCACTCTATACCCCGATCCGAAGCCCGTTTCCCCTAAAGGGACCCCAAACGGCGTAGATCTACGCCTTAAGTTCGGGTCTTTTACCTTAAAACCGACGCCTTCTGGTTTTCCGATATCTCTCCGAGGCCTTGGTTGGTACTTCGGTTTTGTGTATTTGGTTGTGTTCGACCCTTTGTGTTGGTCGATTTGTTTAATGTATTTGTGGGTTCTCGGTTGTTGGTATTTGGTGGTTTTTGTGTTGATGGTCTTTGTGATGTTATGAGTTCTAGGTCCCCGATCTGTGATGATGCTATCTGTGGTTCTGTTTTGTATCCTCTCCTGATGGCCGTCTCCTCTGGTATTTATATAGCCCGTTGGGAGGCTGTTTCCGGTGATTTCTGGGACGTTCCCGGATATTTCGGGTCATGGGTTCGTGGTTGACCGGCTATCCCGGGATGGGTCAGTCCCGGGATCCCGGCCGGCCGTTTTGGTATTGACTGTTGGCCACGTGTCCCTTGACTCCCCCATGCGGCGCATTGACTGGCATCTTTTTTAGGGTTCCAAACCCTAACGCTTACTGGGTTGGTTCAGGCCATCCAAACCGAACTGAGACCTGTTGGACTGGATCTGGACCCAAAAAAAAAACAATTAAATTAAATTAAATTAAATGAATGAAATGCAAATAATAATAATAATAATAATAACATACTAATAATAATATAATATAAACTATATAATATATATTTCAAAAATATTTTTTAAAACTATATATTATATTCTAAAAAACTTTCCAAAACTATAGTTTTCAAAAATGATTTAAGAATATTATAAGATTCCAAAATATGTTTTTTTAAAACTATATATATTAATTTTCCAAAATGTTTTTTTTAAAAAAACTATATATTATATATTTTCAAATGATTTCAAAACTATATTATATATATTTTCAAATGCATTTTCAAAAACTATACATTATATATGTTTTCAAAAAAAATTTTAAACTATATACTATATATATTTTCGGAATGTTTGAAACTATATGTACATATTTTAAAAACATTTTCAAAAAATTATTATATCTATAAAAAACAGACGAAAATGAGTGTCTACAGCTGCCCTTTGTCCTTTTTCGTGGAACGAAAAAATAGGACAAAGATAAAATGACACAAATTTTCGTTCGGTGGAGAATATTCCCTGTCGATTTGAGATGATGGCTCCTCCGTCGCAAGTCGAGTCCACCTTGAAATGATATGGGATTGAATCTGTTGTCCGGAATTGGAATGTGACTTCTCGTTGTCCTTCGGTCTTCTTCTCGATTTAAAGACCTTGGTTAAAATTCTACCCAGTGGTTGATTCGAGCTGAATGAATCAAACTCGAAAGGTATTCGTGACAGATAGCTTTTCTCGACTTAAGCTATACTGTCGGAAAGCGGTTTCTTGCCACTAAGGCACGGCTAACCCGAGTCTTATTCTCGACTTGAAAGCCTCGAATGCAACCGGACAGTAGTGAATGATGTGACATCGAGCTGAATGGAATCGAACTCGATAATTTATGACATATAGCGCTTCTTGCTTTAGGCTATGTTGTAAATGATGTGCCTTGGAGCTGAGCGTAGTCGAACTCGAAGGTCTTTGGTCACAGATAACCCTCCTAGCCTTGAGTTATGTAAATGATGCCCCCGAAGCTGAGTGTAATCAAACTCGAAGGTCTTTGTTGGCAGACAACCCTTCTAGACTTAAGCTACCGCAATGATATGCCTTGGAGCTGAGCGTAGTCGAACTCGAAGGTCTTTGGTGACAGTTAACCCTTCTAGCCTTGAGTTATGCTGTAAATGATATATGCCCTTGAAGCTGAGTGTAATCGAACTTAAGGGTCTTTAGTTGGCAGATAACCCTTCTCGACTTAAGTTATGCTGCAAATGATGTGCCTTGGAGCTGAGTGTAGTCGAACTCAAAGGTCTTTTGTTAGCAGATAACCCTTCTTGACTTAAGTTACTGCAAATGATGTGCCTTCGAAGCTGAACGTAGTCGAACTCGAGGGTCTTTGGCAGATATCCCTTCTCGACTTAAGCTATTCTGCAGATGATGTGCCTTGGAGCTGAGCGTAGTCGAACTCAAAGGTCTTTGCTAACAGATAACCCTTCTAGCCTTGAGTTGCTGTAAATGTTATGCCCTTGAAGCTGAGTGTAATCGAACTTAAGGGTCTTTGGCAG